CCCCCCCCCCCCCCCCCCCACTACCTCGTGCTGCTCTCTCCTTCTCTCTCGAGCATGCAACGTTCCTAAAACCATGGCGACCATGAAACGCCATCGATTGCTCCAATTTCCCTTTTCTTCCCCTCTCAAACCCTAAACCTGAAATTCTCTCCTCATTTCGATTCCCCCCCATCTATCTATCTATCTATCGATATACATATACTGCACTTTATCTACAGATTTGGTTAATTGGATTTCGTATTGGGATGATGGAATCCTGGATTTAATTCCGGGGGGATATTTTTTGGGTCACAATTTTTTGTTTTGTTTTTGGGTTTTAAGGCCATTATTCACTGCCCCAACTGAACTATAGGCGCATTTCTGTGGGATTTGGAGAAATCTATGCATATATTGCAGTGGAAGGAAGGAAAGTGGTGATTGATTTTGGGAAGGTTCTGGATACGTGTCGGGGAAGTAACAGCGCCATAAGATGGCGCTGTTCAGACGCTTCTTCTATCGCAAACCGCCCGACCGGCTGCTCGAGATCTCAGACCGGGTTTACGGTGGCTCACTTTATCCTCTGTTGCATTCAATTCTGGGTTTTTCTTTCTTCTAGTAAATGCATTTTGAAATACTTTTTGTGCTTTGGGATTTCGGGTTGTTGTTAGAGTAGGGGGCATTGGGCTTGCTTAGCTCAATTTAGTGTTTTTTCGGTTTTGATTCGGGCTTGCTGATTGTTGTTGGACCTACATCTAGAAGTAGTTTTTTCCATGCTTCCTATAAAAAATGTCGAAACTTTTCATCGAATTTACTACCTCCGTCCCAGAAGGACATTCTGTTGAGGCTTGACTGAAGCTGTTTTCATTTTAATTTATCTGAGAATTCACTTCGGGGTGTTGTTAGAGTAGGGAATTGGGTTTGCTTAGCTCAATTTAGTATGGAAATACTTTTTTTTCATGCATCTTATAAAAATGTAGAAACTTTTCATGGAGTTTACCACCTCTGTCACATTGAGTTTGATTTTAATATATATGAGAATTCGTGTAAAATTTAAAAAAAAGTTATATATTTAAAAAACAACAAAGCTATATTATTTTATCAAATGAGTAATGAAAATAAGAATGGAGAGTGGTTAGTGACCTTGTGAATAGTGAACAAAAACCTTCTTTTTGGGATGGAGGGAGTAATCCAGAGTACTTTCCGGCATCTTTTAGCTGAATGAGGAATGGGTAACTTCAACAATGGGCTGTTCTTGGCTTCTTGCTGCAAATGAACTGTTCTTGGCTTCTTGCTTTAGATTGTGGTAAAGGTGTCTTAGAGTCTTATGTATGGGGACATTTGAGGCACAACTCATATGACGTTTGAATTTTGGGATCTTGGTGGATGATGTTATTTGGGAAATGCTAAAACCACAAAATTAGTTGATATGCATTATTATTTTCTTACATTGGTTTATTTGCAGTGTTTGATTGTTGCTTCTCCACAAATGTATTGGATGACAATGAGTACAAGACATACTTTGGTGGAATTGTTTCTCAGCTGCACGATTATTATCCGGATGCTTCTTTCATGGTTTTCAACTTCAAAAAACAGAACACGATAAGCCCAATATCCGAAATCATGTCCCGATATGCTATGACTGTCATGGATTATCCTTTGCAACACGAAGGGTACCCAATATTGCCATTGGAGATGATCTACCACTTTCTGCGGTCCAGCGAGAGCTGGTTGTCACTTGAAGGCCAGCAAAATGTGCTGTTGGTTTATTGCGAGAGGGGAGGGTGGCCTTTGTTAGCCTTTATGCTCGCGGGCCTTCTTTTGTACAGAAAACAGTACACCGGCGAGCAGAAGACTCTTGAGATGATATACAAACAAGCCCCAAGAGAGCTTTTTTATCTCTTGTCTCCTTTCAATCCGCAGCCGTCCCAGCTTAGATATCTTCAGTATATCTCCAGGATAGGTTTTGGGTTGGATTGGCCGCCACCATCAAACACATTCTTAGCGTTGGACTGTGTCATACTTAGGTTCCTTCCTTTCTATAAGAATGGAAGAGGATGTCGCCCGGTAGTTCGTGTTTACGGTCAGGATCCTTCTTTAGTTAAGCCCAATAAGACTTCCATGCTTCTTTCTTCAACTTCAAAGACAATAAAACAGTACCGGCTCTACCAACAGGTGATTTCATAAGACTCTGGCTGCGTTACGTTTGCCTAATATGATCTAATATGATTTTTTCTGATTGTAGTTATATTTAAAGTTGTTTCTGATTTGGTCTAATCTGATTTGATTTTAATAAGAATAAATAGTTAGCTGAAAAAATAAGTAGAACGGAGCGCTGCCTCTGATGTTTTTTATGAATTCAACTCCAAAATGTTCTGATTATCAGTTTTGACTCCAGGAGGAGTGCGAGCTAGTTAAAGTAGACGTTCCTTGTCGTCTCAAGGGAGACATTGTTCTTGAGTGTGTACATGTGGATGATGATGATCATGATCTAGTAACTGAGGAATTGATGTTCAGAGTCATGTTCCACACGGCTTTCATTCGCTCAAATGCTTTGATATTAACCCGAGATGAAATCGACGCTCTCTGGGATTTGAGGGAGAGATTTTCACCGGAGTTCAGAGTCGAGGTCGGTTTCCTATTCATTCAAACCTTACACGCTCTTTTTTTCCAATGTTGCGGCCTTCTCCAATGGAAGAGGACTTGAAATATGCTCGTTGTTTTTATCAGGTTCTCTTTGCAGATGCCGATGCAGTTCCATCCATTATCACCAGAGAAGAACCATATGAGGATGAGAGTGATACGTCTTCAGCGGCCTCGCCCGAAGAGTTTTTTGAGGCAGAAGAGATATTCAGCAGCATTGTTGATGGGCAGGAGGGAAGGGATTTCTCTGATGCTCCTCCCACTGTTGGAGAAGTAGTCTGGAAGGAATTGGAGCATCACTCTTTTGTCGATTGCGCATCTTTCGAAGGAAATCAAAGGCATGACGACGATCATGAAATAAAAACCCACACGCTATGCAATGGGAATAAGGAGTTAATCTCCACTAACCGCCTTCTTGAAGTTTCGTCAGGTATAGAAGAATCTCAAGACCTATCTCAAAGTGTTCACGACGAACAAGATGAACTGGAGAACAATAAAAATAGAGAAATAAAACCCACTCAGAATTTTGAAAGGCAGCGTTCCCTAAAGAAAATCGAAGCTGACAGTAACATGCTGCAGTCTGATAATGTTCTTCTCCCTGATTCCCCAAAGAAACAACCACTAGCAGATGCTTCTACAAAGAAACTGCCATTAGAAAAGTCATGTGTTGAGGAAAATAAACAAGATAAGGAAAGAATGTCAACAAAGAAGTTAGAAATGCAGGGTTCCCAACAGAAAATGGATGCTGATGGTAAAAACCAGAATAGGACACATCCACAAGCCAACTCCGAACCTTCTGCAGACGCGTCTTCAAAGAAAGATCCACTATCACAGTCAAATGATGGAGATAATAATCAAGATAAAGAAAGAACAACAATACACAATATAGAAATGCAGGCTTACCAGCATAAATTTGATGCTGATAGTGACAATGTACCCCCTGCTTCCCCAAATAAACAGCCGCTAGCCAACTCAGAACCTTTAACGGTTATTGTCTCTTCTCTGTCACAAGTTGAATGCCAATTCTCGGAAGTGCATTTGCTGCAGCCCCCACCTCCTCCACCTCCTCCTCCGCCACTTCCATCCAGGTATACCAGCTCTCTAATATCACAAATTCTGTATGAGCAGGTATCTTCTCCTTTAGTAGTACCAAGCTCTACTACACCACTTCCCCCACCCCCGCCTCCCCCTCCACCTCATGTTCGTCTTCCACCTGCTCGTAGTCCAACAATTTCACCCACACTTCTTCCTCTGATGTCTTTAGATGAAAAACTAAGCTGCCAAGATCTTTTGCAAGGTACTACCCAATCGCTTGCATCACAACCTTTACCTACTTTAGACGTTGGTCCACCACCACCTTCTCCATCATCATGCAGTGCTTCTTCATATGCACTTTCTGAGCCACTTCTAACTCATAAACATGGTTGTCCACCTCCACCTCCTCCTTTCCCTCGTCATGCATCTGCTTCATGTGGTGTTTCAACCCCTCACCAGTCTTCACAACCCCCTCCACCCACCCCAGTTTCTTCACATGGTCTTCAACCTTCTCCATCGCTCCCTCTTTTATCGAGTATTCTATTGCCGTTACCACCCCCACCCTCTTCGCATATTTCCTCACTTCCATCTCCTTCAGTTACTGAAATGCCACCTTTACCACAAACACTGATAATATGCACTGCTCCAACTCCACCACCACCACCACCACCTGCGCTTATAAAACTATTTCCTTCAAAGGGCGAGGCTCTTCCAACACCACCTATATCATATGGAGTGCGCCCTCAACCTCCTCCTCCTCCTCCTCCTCCTCCACCACCACCACCTAGTATAAGTATTTCTACACAATCAACTCAAAACCTCATAGAAGCACCAAAACCACAACCTCCACATAGTGGACCTGCGATTCCCCCACCCCTTTTGGAAGGTGGAGCATCACTACTCCGATCCTCTACAGGAATTGGAGCACCCCCTCCACCACCTCCACCTCTTGTAGGAGGTGGGTTACAACCTATTCTGCATTCCTCAAGTGGCGGACTACCAGTTTCCACACCTTCTCCAATATATGGAAGAACTCCACCTCCTCCACACCCTTCAAGTAGGGGACAAATTCCTTCCTCACTAACTCCAATAGGTGGAGAACCACTTCCCCTACCCCCTCCAGCGAGACAACCTCCACCCCCTCCTCCCGGAGCTGGAAGAAAACCTAATGCACCTCTTCCAGGTTGTGCTCCAATTGCTCCTCCACCCTTGCCTTGTCTTGGTTCTCATCATCCTACAAGTTCATGTGGACCTCCATCACAACCAAGTGGTCATGGACCCCCTTCACCACCAGATTGTCCTGTACCTCCTCCACCACCAGGTGGTCCGGTACCTCCTCCACCACCAAGTGGTCCTGGACATCCTCCACCGCCAGGTTGTCCTGTACCTCCTCCACCACCAGGTGTTCCTGTACCTCCTCCACCACCAAGTGGTTCTGGACCTCCTCCACCACCAGGTGGTCGTGGACCTCCTCCACCACCAGGTGGTCCTGTACCTCCTCCACCACCAGGTGGTCCTGTACCTCCTCCACCACCAAGTGGTCCTGGGCCTCCTCCACCACCAGATGGTCGTGGACCCCCTCCACCACCAGGTTGTCCTAAACCTCCACCACCACCAGGTGGTTGTGGACCTCCTCCACCACCACGTTGTCCTGGACCTCCTCCACCACCAGGTGCTCCTGGACCTCCTCCACCACCAGGTGCTCCTGGACCTCCTCTTCCACCAGGGGCTCCAAGACCTCCAGGAGGTGCACCTCCACCACCAGGGAATGGCCTTCCCGGTGGAAGAGGTCGTGGAGCCGCTGGAAGAGGACTTGCTGGAGCTGTTCGAAGATCGACCTTGAAGCCTTTGCATTGGAGTAAGGTAACCCGAGCACTACAAGGAAGCCTGTGGGAAGAATTGCAGAGACATGGAGAGCCTCAAATGTATTAAGTGCATTCTTCTAAACTTCAATAGTACTTCTCTTCAATACCAGGAAACTGACTTCTTTTTTCAATTCAGTGCACCAGAATTTGATGTGTCAGAAATTGAGACTCTATTTTCTGCAGTAGTCCCCAAATCAAATAAAAGTACGTCTGGAGATAAACAGAAATCCGCTGGATCCAAACCTGACAAGGTTCACTTGGTAATGTAATTCAAATTCAGTCCCCAAAGTTATGTAATATTCAGAATGCCTAGGCACTTACAATATGACTCTTCCATTTCTTTTTCTTTTTGCATATCTTTGCATGTTTTACTATGAGTGACTTGTTTTTTGTTTTATTTTTCTCTCTTATAAGCATGCCACGGATTTTCCTTTCAGTTGTTGAGCTAGGTATCTCCTGTAATTAGTGCATGATCAATCCGTTGTAGTCTTATACCTATGTGACATTTTTTTAATGCGGAGCATATATTCTCTCACGAGGACCATCATCTCTCAATTTAGTATTGGTTTCACTGCATGGGAGAGAAAGAATGTCATTGAATTACATAATTTTACTTTTAGTTTTTATTGAACCTTTGGATATTATGATATTCATACCGGTTTTGGGCCATTTTCTTTATTTATTTTTATATTGTGGAAATTGACCTTTGAGTTTTATTGTTACATTTCACTTTGAATAATCAAAGCAAAGTAAATTTTGTTTTGCATCCCAACAATTTTGCTTTGCACATATTTGGCAAACATGAATCAAGTTATTCCCTCTAACGGGATTTGAGCTAACACGGTTAGTAGGATGCTTACTTGGCAGGTTAAGGGACACATTGGATGCCAAATGGATCCAATGTGGATGCTAGCACAATATTGATACTCATTTTGGCCCTTGTATGTTTAATTGAGTCAAAATAGTTTATATATCCAAAAAACGTGGATTAAATAACTCCCTCATTTATTATTTTCTTTTCCTCCACGAAGACACATTTGAATATAGAATACTCCATCCATGCCATTGCATTCGTCCAATTTGACTTTTTTAGTCAAACGGGATGAATTTTAATCATGAATGAAATAAAAAATTCAATTCATATTAATACAATAAAAAATTATTTTTTTGCAAGATAAATCTAATGATTTTTTGTACAAATATGCAATAAAAGTTTTATTAATTATTGGTGGGAGTAATTCTTAACAAAATTTATTTTATTAGCCCATCTAGTGTATCTGTCTAGTTTGACTTTTAAATTCAAATTCGAAAAACTTTTATCATCAATTGAATTGAAAATATATTGCATAAAAATATTCTTGCACAAAAATGTCAAAAAAATCTTTTATTGTATATTTTTATTTAGTTGATGATGAAAGTTCTTCCATTTTGAGTAAAAAAGTCAAAATAAACGAATACACTTACGTGAATGGAGTATTCCGTGTTCACATGTATTTTCATTGAGGAAAAGTAAATAATAAATGATGGACTTATTTGATTCACATTTGTCACATATAAGGACTATTTTGACTCAATTAAACATACAAGGGCCAAAGTGAGCATCAATCCTATGTTGGCATTCACGTGGGATCTATTTGGCATCCAATGTGTCCCTTAACATGCCATGTAAGCATCTTAGTAACAGTGTTAACTCAAATTATGTTAGAGGTGCCAAATTGATTCACCTTTTCCAATGATGGGGGCTAATTTCACTCAAGAAAATCTACAAGGACTAAAATGACTGACAAATCTACCTAGAGGGACTAAAATGAGTATTTTCTCTATCTATTTGGTTTTCCATCTTTACACTGCGGTAGTTCAATCTGTTAATTTGTGTTGTTTTTCCATTCTTTTTGCAGATTGACTTGAGGAGGGCCAACAATACTGAAATTATGCTCACAAAGGTCAAGATGCCACTTCCTGATATGATGGTATATTTGTGACTATTTGTCCTACAGATTTGTTTACTCTCTCTATAAGAAGGTCATATTTGATAGATTTTTTTTCTGTTGCTTCTGTCTTTCTACAGTGTTATTCACTTACTTTCTTTACTTAAAGCATGGATGGTTAACAAGATTAATGAAATGTGTTTACTCTAACATGAATAATGAGATCAAAAGAACAATAATGATAATCTACTTATGAAGTAAGTGATTTTCATTACAAAAATTATGCTTCTTAAGTTAATTCCTAATGTCATCTTATACATGTTTGCTTTCTAGATTTCTGCATTTTCAACTGTTTGATTCCATTGCTTGCTTAATTTCAATGACCATTTTTGTCTGACTTGCACAGGCTGCTGCATTGGCAATGGATGAGTCAGTTTTGGATGCTGATCAAGTAGAAAATCTTATAAAATTTTGTCCGACAAAAGAAGAGATTGAACTTCTTAAGGTGAAACAAGCCACTCTGAAGCTTTTTTTATCTTCTGTGAGCTATTCTATTTTTAATTCTAGTTTTTTATGCTTGTTTTATTGGAATCTATGCTTCCCATCCTCTTACTTCCTTGCTGATTTTTTGCACTTATGGCTACCTAGAATTACACTGGGGACAGGGAGATGCTGGGGAAGTGCGAACAGGTTTGTGACCAGATTATTTAGCACAAATTTTCCTATATATATTTGACTGCGTTGAAATCTGATTATGGATATGAGCATTTTGTGTTCATAAGTTAACCACCATTTTTATGTTTTAGTTTTTCCTGGAACTGATGAAGGTGCCACGTGTGGAGTCAAAATTAAGAGTATTCCTATTCAAGATTCAATTCAACACACAGGTTTTACAAGTCCATCTCTCCATGTAATTTAGGAAGTCAAGCTTTTCAATATTTTCTAATGCAGGCTCTCCTCTCAGGTATCAGATTTCAGAAGAAGTATGACCATCGTGAACTCTGCTTGTGAAGAGGTACCTTGCTTATGTTGTTGAATGCGGTTCCTTTTTATACCTCACCTCATATTAATTTATTTTTATTTCTGCAAATAACTTTCACAAGTATCAGGTACGAAGTTCTATGAAATTGAAGGTTATCATGAAAACGATATTAGATCTTGGGAACACATTGAATCGAGGAACAGCCAGAGGTATGAGTAACACTTTTAGATGTACTCATTTTTTTACAGTTACTTAACCATCTTTTTTTTGCGCTTTCCAATCCACACTTTGAATTAAGTTATGTATTCATGTGCCTTAAGGTGCTGCGGTTGGATTTAAGTTGGATAGCCTTTTAAAACTTACCGATACACGTGCTAACAATAGGATGACACTCATGCAATTTCTTTGTAAGGTATTGTTGTGTTCTTAATTTCCAGTATATTGTTTGTGTTATAAATGATAATTCATTTGTTCCTATGCACCTTACTTACAATTGCTCTCTCAATCTATCTTCCTATCAAATATAATGAACCCCTTTCATTTTTGTTATTTCCATCCCCAATTGATTGCACATGATTTTCGCCTTAAAGGGTTAAAATATTCGTTACCAAATCAGGGCAAGATGAGATGTGTAGCGAAAAATATAATCTTTGTCATTAATTTTGAAATTATTGGGGTTAAAAGTGAAAAGTCACTCACTGAAAATAGTTCATTTCTGATAAGTTTAATGCTTAATGTGCTTACTGCATCCGACATTCTTTTGGCTATAATAGGGAAAGTTACCTCATAATGGCCAATTGGGAGTGATTTTTTTTACATAGATTTTTAAAGTGATTTACCCTATCAAAATGTGGGTAGATATTTATTCAGAACATTAATGCTTGCTGAAATTGTTGTAGGAGAATTGATGCTATCTTTTTAATTTTCATTAACCACTTCATCTTCCATCAGTCTGTAGCTCAAAAGTCACCTGCACTTCTGGACTTTCATGTGGATTTTGTTAGTCTAGAAGCTGCATCAAAGGTTGGTACATTGTCCTATTTCGTTCATTATTATTATGAAGAAAAAGGATATTGGGTGGTGTAATGAAATTAACTGAAATATACCTGCGCTTACAGATACAGTTGAAGGCTTTAGCCGAGGAAATGCAGACCATCACAAAGGGATTGGAAAAAGTAAAGCAGGAACGCACTGCATCTGAGAATGATGGTCCTGTTTCCGAAACATTCCGCAAGGTATCCTGATTTTAGTGATAATTGTACACACGTCAATAATCTCAGGTATATGCACTATGCGCCATCTTCCGACGCAAATGACCTTGTGTGTTTTGAGAGGAATGATTTTACATATGATCTTCGATAGGAGGGTTTTGGAAAGCTAGGACTAGGGTAGTTGGGTAGGCGCTTTGGACTAGGTAACTGCAGTTGTTGTGTATGTTGTATGCTTTGTATGCTCTGTGCTTTCTCTGCTTTTATGTGTCTTCTGTGCTCTTATATTGTCTGTGTGCTACTTGAGCTCGGGGTCTCTTAGAAACAGTCTCCCTCCTTTCGAGTAGGGGCAAGGTCTGCGCACACACACCCTCCCCTGACCCTACTTTTGTGGGACCCAACTGGGTTGTTGTTCTTGTTGTAACAACAAAGAGTTTTTTTGTCTGTTAGGCCTAATGACAGAAACTATGACAATTTCTGTATTTTTTTTAAATATTTAGATATGCATCTGTGTTTCAGCATTATTGATCGTGATTTGTTTCATCCTTGACCTGCTTGTTAGACACTGAAGGAATTCATTGGAGCCGCTGAAGCAGAAGTGACATCTTTGACAAATTTGTATTCTGTAGCGGTACACTTTAAATTTTTTCTTTTGAACTTTTTATGCGGTTTGACTATCTAAGTTGCTTTTGGAGGTGATCTCTTCTCTCCTCATGATTCACAGGGCAGGAATGCAGATGCACTAGCCCTGTATTTCGGCGAGGATCCGGCACGATGCCCATTCGAGCAAGGTAAAACAATCATTCAAATCTTTTACACTAGAGTTATTGGTGGAAAAGAAAATGAGAAGGCAAAATGTACTAAGAGGAAGGAAAACAAAATTTCTCCCATTTTGGTGCGGAAAATGAGGGAAAACCATTTTCTTTTCTTTTCCTTCCGAATTCCTTGAACCAAACATAGTGTTAAGGTTTGATGACATTGATGATAAAGTAGATTATAATCGATCTCTTCCCTTCTCCAACTGAACGAGAAATTCCATGAAGCTGGAGTTACATACTTACATTCAACATCATAAACAATTAAACAAATGTTCTTGAAGTATTTTTCATTAACAGACTATTTTCACTTTGATCCAACATATAGAGAGGGCACTCTAATTTTATACTTAAGAAAGCACACTATTATCATCCGGTCACTGGTAATGGTTCTCTGATTAGCATCATTTGAAAAACAGATTTATGACTTGCCAAAATTTACTCCTATAAGTGTTTTCAAATCAAGAAAAGAGTGGTTTCATGTAATTCCACTAGTACAGGAAATTTTTGAATGGTGACGTGACTTCATGCGAGCTTTTGAAGAAGTTGTTCTTCCCCATTACGGGTTACAGCCTCGTTCTGTTTAGTGGTTTATATTGTACATAAAATTTTCATGCCTCATAGAATAGTACATCTATATATGATGCTTACATGTTCCATTATTGGTTTCTGATGTAGCTGCTCGTACTAGGTGCTCTGGTTATCTTTTGCTTGATTTGTTATCTTTAAATGATGATTCATGCAGTTGCTACAATCCTTTTGAACTTCACAAGGTTGTTCCAGAAATCCCACGAGGAGAACTTGAAACAGGCCGAACTAGAAAAGAAGAAAGCCCAGAAGGAGGCCGAGGCAGAGGATGCCAAAGGAAGAAACCAGATAGAAGAGCCTCAGACAGATTGAAATTGCTTCCACTATGGATTTTTGTGGCATTTGAAAAAAGAAACTGATCTGGGATGGGCAGTGCCAGCTAGCTCTACACAGGAAGCTGTTGGGTATCCACTATGCGGGCATGTCGTTGGGCCTACCCAATGACTACCGACCCAAAGAAATGACACACCCGAAT